ATCAAGGTTAACTCCTTGTAACTGCCTTCTCCCTAGGACGTTTTCCAACAATCCAGTCTAAGCAACATTCCTAGAACTTTAAGTGGTTCCACATCAAAATAGTAATTAGGTCCAACCCTGCCTATTTATTGAGCCACATTTTGTACTGCCTATCCTTGTAACTTGTAGCTTACAATATACAAAATTACAACATGTATAAAAACTAAATAAAAAGCAACTAGTAAATAAAACAATAAGGTATTGTTCGTAAGAGCTACCGCTACCTTAAAAAGATTTTCAAGACTTAAAGAGAACTATCTTAACCACTTTGCTAAAAGCCATAAGGGGAGGGGCACATCTGACCTCCAGGGGCATGCTGTTCCAGAGGGAGGGGCTGCTCCTGAGAATGTGCTTCTCTGAGTCCCTGATCTCATTCGGGGTGGGCACCTGAAGCATTCTCTCCCTGCTAGACTGCGTAGAGTGGACAGATTCTACCTGGAAAAGACAGTCCCAACAGTAATGAGGCCAAGCCATATAGGGTTTTATAGGTAATCACCAACATCTTAAATTGGCCCAGAGGCCAAAATGCAACCAACGCAATTCCTACAACATGTGGTTTATTCTGTTGAATCAACTAACACTAGTGAACAAGCGGGTGACCACATTATTTATGAGCTAAGGCTTCAGAGTCATCTAGGATAGTCCCTATAAAGCGAATTGCTGTAGTCTGACTGAGAGATGAATTGCTATCTTCTGCATCTCCTGATCCAGGAAAGAGGGCCACTAGTAGATCTGCCAAAGCTGGAAGAAGGGTCTCCTGACCATAGCTTTCAGCTATCATTCCAGTAGGAATTTCTTATATTCCAAGGTCAAGGCTGTTACCCTATTTCAATCTTATTTTCATAGTGATCTCTAAATATTTTCTCAAAATTAGTTCATATTTAAACCAACAGTATTGCTTAAGGGTATAGCTATCAAATATCAAGACTGGCACCAGGGAGACTCATGTTCAAGTCCATTCTCAGCCACAGAAGCTCACTAAACGTTAGCCCAGAGACTGGTCCAGGCAAGACATAGTTTGAAATCTAATTGGAACTGCACTGCAAAGACTATAGGAATAGAATCTTGAAAACCTATAATGTTTTCCCTTCTTCCCTCTTGTACCAAAGAGAGGAATTTGGCAGCATCTTTTCTGAGCAACAAATTTTATTAACAGAAGCAAGCCTTTGTGAGCTGCAGCTTATTTTATCAGGTGGGGTCAGGTTAAATTTCTAATATTCTCCTTATTCATCTTTTACAGTATTTCCCCCATAAACATTCAAATCCAATTGTGATAGGTACTTGATTTCTCATAATTCTCCTTATTCTCCCCCACCCCCCAAATCTCTGCGAACTCACTCTTTTTGCCTTTGCTAGATGAGCTGTCATAATCACTTGATTCAATCTGTTTCTCTTTTAGGTCAGCTTCAAACCGGGCAAGATCCGTATCCAACCTTCGGATGTGCTTATCTACCTGTAAACATAATAGGAGTGCAAGAATATTATTTGAGTTGAGGGTCAATTCATCAGCATGACAGAGATTCTACAAATAGAAGAAAGAAGCTGGCTACACTAATAACTGAAAATGAATGAATGAATGAATGAAATCCAATGAATGAATGAAACTTTATAACATTGTCTTCTTGCTGTATCTCATACCATTTCATATGTCTGCATAGCCAATTGTACTTTGTCATCACCAAACTCCTTGCACTTCCCATAGGCCTCCTGGATTTGTTTGAGAAGACCCACTTTCTCTTCTGAAGACAGAGTCCGTGCATTGCTGATATATTCTGTAGCCAATTTATCAATCTCTGATTTAAGATCTAGAAGAAGCAGAAAGTAGTCTGATGAAGACTATTTTACATAAATTCCACTGTAACAGAAATGGACATTAAAATTAACTTTTTTTTAAAAAAAAAGTGTGACACACAATTACTCCAAATTAATTGCTGTCTTCACTCATTCTATCTCTTATTCACCTTCTGTTCGTTGGTCCAGATCTCGCATAAGCTGAAAGTTTCTCTGCAGTTCAAAAGGCAAATTCTCAATGCCTAAAAAGGAAGAACCCAAAAACAGGAAAGATGATCAGCGAAGGGGAACAATAACATTGTGCTATTTTCTTTAACACATTAACACATGAGCACCCATACTAATGGGTGTTCATATGTTAACAGAAAATGAATTGTCAGATATTTAATTTTATATTCAAATATCAGCCTGAAAAAACACAGGAATGATTATCTGCATCTTAAATGACATGAGACCCAAATTTCTCACTAAACATACTGCACAAATTCTAAACATACTCACTAAACATACTGCAGCCAATCCTAGCTGTGACTATTATGTATTTGCTTATATGTATACTAATACTGGCTCAATTAGGTTTTCTGCTATTCATCACAGGGGGTTGCAAAAATAAAAATGTTTACAGCAAAGTCTCTTTTAGGCTACATTTGATTCACTGATGCAGGAATATCTGTTTTACTCCCCAAACTCTCTGCATCTCTTAAAATGTGCTTTCTTCTAACTTATCCTTTAGGTACTTCATTCCTTAAAGGTTTCTTTCTTTCTTTCTTTTTAATTCCTTCAAAGTACATGTATTTAAGGTACAACAATTATCACTGCTTGGAGTCCACTGGAGTTGGGCAGCTAATAAAGTCAAATAAACGAATTATAGATCTACTCTGCACAGGTGCACCCATATAGACAATGTTGCTTTTAAAATGAAGGAGGCATGCAATTCCATCCCTTAAAACCGGATTGCATTACAATATATCATAAAAGTTGAGCCAAACTGAACAAAGCGATTGAATAACTGCCTGCAAATCTTTCGGCTGCTCTTGGAAAGCTCCAGTTCAGCATCTAAGCTGGATCAGAGACAATCTCAAGCGTGTCCCTACTACCCTCTTCCCTTACCCCACCTTTCCCAGGAATAACGCCCCCGACTAAAAGGGCGCGACACCGCCTTTCCCCTTAGAGCCGCGGGTAACCACGGGAGGCGGGAAGACACTCATCAGGGGTTTCCAGATCATGCTTCACCCACCGGGCAACCACGATGAGCCGAAGCGCCCTCCTGAACAGGTTCTCTCCGCTGCTGAACCTATGAATCGCCCGAACATGCAAAGAAGCGTCCCCTTGACGTCATGCGCCCACCCAGCGACACGAAACCGAGGCGTCTGCCGGCATTTCGCGGGCTCCCTCCCGGCCGAATCCCACGCCCGGTCTTACTATCAAGGTAGTGCTCCAGGTACATCCCAGCCGCCATTTTGGGTTCCAGCCAACCGCCCAGGCGCTTCTCTTGGCCCCGCCCAATCCCGGCATTATTTCCGCCCTGACTGAAAGCGACTTCCGTTCTGCGGCAGACTCGCTTCCGCCTGCGTGCCCGGTGGTTGCTGCTTTTTAATCCTGCTTGTAGAGGCGGTTGCCCTGTCAGTTTTAGCGATGGCACAAAGGGGAAGAGATAGTCCTGGCCATCTTTCTTCCCACCCTTTTTTAAACCTACAGCAAATACATGTACCTTTTTTAACCTTAAACGAGCATATTTTTTTAACTAAAACAAGTACATTTTCAGACGGGACGCTCTGAATAACAGAGTTGGAAGGGACCTTGGAGATCATCTAGTCCAACCCCCTGCTCAAGCTGGAGATCCCATACCACTCCAGAGGAATGGCTGCCAGTCTCTTAAAGGCCTCCAATGATGGAGTGCCGATGAGTTCTGAAGACAAGCTGTTCCACTGGTTGATTGTTCTGTTCAGATTGTTGTTATTTTTAGGTTGCTTCTCTCCTTGATTAGTTTCCATACATTGCTTCTTGGCCTGCTTTCAGATGCTTTGGAGAATAGGTTGAGCTTTTCTTTATGGCAACCCCTTAGATATTGGAATACTACTATCATGTTATCTCTAGACCTCCTCACTAGACATACCCAATTCCTGTGACTGTTTTTCATAGGTGTTAGCCTCCAGCTCCCTAATAATCTTTGTTGCTCTTCACAGCACTCTTTCCAAAGTCTCAACATCTTTTTTTATAATATGGTGAACAAAACTGGATTTTCAGGTGTGGTCTTACTAAGGCTTTATAAAGTGGTACTAATACATCATGTAATCTTGATTCTATGTTAATGTTAATTTGGGATTGCATTGCATTGGCTTTTTTGGCTGCCGCTGCAATGTTGGCTCATAGTGATTATACACTAGGACTCCAAGATCCCTCTTGCAGTTACTGCTATTAAGTCAGGTTTCACTTAATCTGCACCTGTACATTTGTTTTTTCTTACCTAAGTGTAAAACCTTACTTTTCTCTACACTGAATTTCTTTTTGTTAAAGAAATTGGTTGTTTGGTATTCAAATCTGTTGAGATCCATCTGGAGTGTTGGCTATTTCTGCCAGTTTAGTGTTGTTTGAAAATTTGATGAGTTTCCTTTCTATTCTGTCATCCAAAGTGCTCTTTTCTTACCCTTGATTCTTTTTAGAAAGAAGACATATTTCACAGAAGCTCAGAGGTACTCACTTTGAAGTTTCTCCATTTTTCAAAATGAAGGAGAATTTGGGAATTTCACAACCAATTTCATTATGCATGGAAGGGGAACGGCGACAGTGAATAATGTCTCTATAGTATCATTCTAGACTGAGTTGTGCCTTCATCCAGTTACTACCTGTTTACTCACAGAATTTTGGGAATTTTAGTGAAATTGTTTTTTTAAAAAAATCACATGCAAGGAAGCAAATGCACAAAAGCATAAAGTGTTACTACATTAAAAAGCTGACCCTACAGTAAAATTCATATTTATTCTCAGCCCTTTAAGATAATAATCCCCTAGAGGTATTGTACAACGGTGTAGTCTAGAAATAGAAATGCAATAAAACTTATTTGAAAAGAATCACATTGCTAGGATTTTTCCCACAGGGCAACATTTCCATAAGCAAGAAGGAAAAAAAAAGAAAATTAACTTGTACATAGTTCAAATATATTTTGATTTATTAAACAAATACAAAAATGTAAATTGAATTTGACAAAAGCAAAGGCAGCTGAAAATGAAAATAAAAATGATGTATGGATATAGAATCGTAAGTGACCTTGAAAGAATTGTAAACATGCTTATACAGTATTTCTTTCCATAGTGATAACTATACAAAGGCAAAATAATTGGCAACAGATCTTGAAATTGCAGAATTTTTCAGAGATCCTAATTGTATTTATTTTTCTGTTACAGCAATTTGCCACTTAAGTTTATGTTTCATACTTCTTAACAATGTATTTCAGATTTCTGGTCCTTGCCATAAAAAAACCTGGTGGCTAGTAGAAATTAACTAAATTTCTTTATTTGTTTATTCTTTCGTTTGTTTGTTTTAGGAAAAATTAACAAAAATTACATATATTTGATTTAATGCAGGTGTGTCCAACCTGTGGCCCGCAGGCTGCATGCGACACTGACAACTACAATGCGGTCCCACAAGATCATATAAAAAATTTTTAAGGAAGTTTGTTATTTATTACATTAACTATATTATATATTTTATATGTGGCACAAGACAATTCCTCTTCACTCAATGGAGCCCAGCCAAGCCAAAGTGTTGGATAGCCATGTTTTAATGTTTTATCTTGTTTTTATTACCAGAGTCACCTCTAGGTGAGATGGGTGAAAAGGTGAAAAATAATCTGAAATGTCTAAATGGACTTTGCTGTCAAAATGGATATCTATAACTTTAGAATGTTGTCAAACCTATCTACAAAATTTATAGCTTTTATGTGGAGTAGAGTGCCACCTGTTGATTAACTTCAGAAGCAAATCTAGATGACTCCATGAAATAAATTTAAAAACTGTTTTAAACTACAGAGCACCGCACTGGGAATCTCTAAATTATATCCCACATAATTTATATAGGACTTTCAGAAAAATCTGTTGTGCTGTTAAAGAGTTTTAAAAACCTATAAAATTCCCATTCCTAAATGAAGGCCATTTGGTAATCTTATCAAGGAACTTAATGGAGAAGATTGATTTATGTAAATAGTTTACGAAAGAATGATTGAGCTTAGTTACAGTTGGAACTTATGGCTTGTATAAAATATTCAGCACTAATAGGTTTACTGGAGCCCATTAATTTACCATTGTTTTATGGTGGGCATGTACATGTATTTTGTACTAAAATATGTCCTTATGCTTAAAAAGAGGATGAGGAAGGAAAGTTCAGGACTTTAAAATTGTTTCTATTTTTTCCAGCCTTCTAAGTATTCAGTACAGATTTGAAGTAATAAACATTAAATTTCTGCCATGTTAATTCAATTGGTACCCATGGAACCTTAGTTGATTTCCTAATTAAATGATATTTTTAGTTTAAATGTGTCAAACAGTTTCAAGTTGGGTACATCTCAAGTGCCATTATGCTTTGTTTGTATTGTATAATTTGTTTATTCCCATGCTTTTTATAGTTATTCATAATTAGTTGCAGAATATGAAATCAGGCAATGGAGAAGTCTGTTTGAAAGACAGATTTAAGGAAGCTGAATCTGTAATAAACTGTCTGATGCCAAAGTGACAACATGCATCATAACATCATCATGCAAATCAATCAACCTAGAACTTGCATGATGACATCTGATACAAGTATGTAAGTTGTATCATTTGCATCGTTATAACCCATGTTGTCAATGCTTCTCCCATACCTTTTCCTGAAGATTTCCCCATTTCACCACAAAACAATTATAATAAGCCAGTTCAAACTTAGACACAATGCTGAGGAAATAGAGCCTCACACTTGCTATTCCCCTCAATCTTTTGCTTGTCCAAATATTGGTATTTGCTTACTTGAGACAGGAATAAAAGCTTGAAAGACAGGAACAGAAAAGGAAAATTGTGGTTAAAGACCTCCATCCTCTAGCACTAAAAGAAAACACATCAGAAGTCCCAATGGAGAAATCTGACATATGAATCTTTATAGAATGGAGAAGAGGAGACCAAAAATGTAATGTAAATCAACAGGTTTCTTCTGATCCAGTAAGCTTCCTTAAATTCATATTGATGATAACATGTTCCAAGCTATCTATTTCTGGAGCAAAACACACTGGCATTAAATATTATTGGCTGGTGAAAGGCAAAATTTCCCTTTTCCACGTAGTGAGTAAAATGAAGTTCCACTTTTCGGTAGTGTTGCAAACAGACGAATAGAAGAGATCAAGACTACGTGTTGATCCCATGAAAATAAGAAAGCCACAATATGTGATCACAACATGCAGCTACCTGACAATTTTAGACTTGTTCCAACATAAAATTTGAATAATGGATTGGTCTGAAAGCCATTTGCCATATCATGTGGTAATCTTACATGCTGAATTCACACTTTGCAACAGATGAATATATATTTTCCCTGGCTTTGACTTTAGGCTGTCATGTAAACATAGCTACTGATTTATAAACCATGGCTTTTGTACTGTATAAACATACAGTATATAATTTTGCTTTATTTTAAAAAGCTATGGTTATAACAAACCCAGGCTTAGTGCAGGTATCTTTAGAATTGTTTTTGCTATTGCAGCAAATGCTATAGTCATGAGTGTCCAAATTTTAACTAGTTGAGGAAAGGTAGTTTTGACTATATCAGAAGTGAGAGCAAAACCAATTTCTCAGGAGTATTAGAATTTGATTGTTTAGGGTTAGGGTTATACCAAGAGCACTGAAAGAGAGTAGTGAATTCCAGTCCCCTGAAAGGCTACATTTGCAGTTTATTAATACAAGCCGTAAAGTGGTTTGGGTGATTGTAATTGAATATGTGACTCTAGCCATTGTGATTTGGAAACTATGATCTCTAATCTTAACAAATCATGATTAAAACAGCTTGGTGCTGCAGACTATGCACAATTTAGAGAGGATTCACAGAGGCTGTGTGTATTTTTTAAAAATAAGCTTGTGCAAATCAGTATCAAAATTTGTGGGGTTTGCATCTTGTTTTGTTTGTGCAAACTGAAAGGAGCAGTTGTGGTCCTTCAAAGTTTGAAAAACCTGTGATATATAAATTAAATTTTAATTATTAAAAGAAGTATTTTGATTTATTGCCCCAGCCTAACCCGAGAGAAAAAAAACATTTCTTTTTAAATAATTCCATTGTCATGGGGTATCACACATATACATTTAGCATTTTGGGAGATGCTATATCACAAAAAAATTGAGAACCTGTTTTAGTACAATATTTCAACTGAGACATTATTAGCCAAACATAGTCAGAAGGAAAAGGCAGTCACTGGACAAATTTCTGTCTTCTAGCTTCATAACAAGAACCACCTATTAGCGCTCGTCACCTAGAAAGAGAGATAAAAAATTAAGAGAAACATACAAATATTTCCTTGGTAATCCCAGTGTCAGGATGAATACTGCATTTCTTTGGAAGTTTCTAAACAAGGATGTGGAACCTTGTATCAGCCGATAAAGCTAAAAGGAAACATATCTATGCTAATTGAAATGAAATTAATTTCTTTCACTGCAATTGTTGTCTGAATGCTGGGAAGCTAATATGCACATACAAAGGAGTATATACTTTGTGTCCTGCTCCCTATCAGGCTTTCAGTGAGAGGATTTTGACACGGACAGTGTAGAAATGTGATGAATACTCTGTTTAACTTATACATTGTATAAAACTTAACAGTAATCCCACTGAATATATAGGAACTACCTTCCTAATATACCTATGTTGGACTGCATTCTTATATACTCCAGTTCACAGAATTTTAGATCTTGGGAGATTCCTGGAGAAAGGAAATGTAGTTAAAATCAGTTCCTGACTAAAATGTTTAATATACATTAGGAATTGATGGTGGATGTCCTGTCCTCTTCTCAGATGTTATTGTAGTGATAGAGAAGCAGAGATTATCTTCAGCTGATCAGAAAGTAAGCAATGATTTCTTTCTTTTATCTCCATTAATTGTTTTATGATCTATATGTGAATAATACCTGCACCAATAAAGGAATTAAAGGGGAAGCTGTTAGTCCTGCTGAACAAGAACAAGGGGGTAGCTAACCAGATTGATCCAAAATAGTTTAGCCTCAAAGTCAGTAAACTTAAATTACTAATTACTATAGTGGAAAAATTTCCATAGAAGGGGACCAGTTATGCAATGTGTTACTCTTGTTCCTTTTGCATTTCTCCAATTTTTCAATAGGACACCTCCAACAGTATGCTTGTGTTGTTGCCCATCCCTTTTTTCTCTAGGCTCATATTTTTTATTCAGGAATATTTTCTAATTAACGTCTTTTTTGCCCCTTAATTTATAGGGCCTTTTCAACAGCACTTTCCCATGATCTAGAAATCTTATCTCAAACAGATCCCTCTAACAGTGATAACCAATGACCCAGCATTTGCAGGATCCTTTAATGTGTTTTTGAAAGAAGGTAAGGAAGTGGCTACCTTGTGTTCTACTAGGCACTAGGGAAGATACCCGTCCCACAAACTCCCACCCTCCCTTGGCTATTTTAACATTGGCTTATTTAGGAATGGGAATAAAGCTGGATGAATAAGGGGGAGGGAAGGAAGGACATTGGGATGATGAGAAAGAAAGAATAATTGCATTTGTACCTAAGATGAGAAGCAAGTTTTCAAATTACAACACAATAGTTGGAACAAAATAGTGAATTTTCTGCTCAGCTTTGTAAAGATGCCAGAGTAATGTAAGATTGCCCAAGTCCTAAGCTGATTTTTTGTGTGAAATGAATAGAGATCAGGAAAAGGCTTAGTGCTAGATATAAATTAGAATTTATACAGAGTATGAGTCTAAAGTAGAATCCTTTGGAGATCAACGCTCAAGATGGCTACAACTGTTTAGTCAAAGCTCTAGTGTTTTTATATGTGTGTTGTGCAATGAGGAACTGTCTCTTGCCAGTTATATCTACCCATCCATCCATCCATCAGACGTATGGTCTGGATCCTGCCTGAGAAGGCGTTCCATTGGTCAGGACCCTGACGATGCACCTTTCCTGCTTTAACTCCATTCCCAGGAACATCATTCTCCCTGAGGTGAAGTTAGCCCCATCTCTTGATCAAGCCTTGATCAATAAAGGAGAATATTTATAGCTCACAGTTGAAATGAAGGGATCTTGGTATTCTCTGAGCTTTCTTGCTTTCCTGCAGACATTTCATTACCCAAACTAGATAACATCATCGGTACTGATGATGTTACTTAGTTTGGGTAAAGAAACATTGTAAGAAAGCAACCAAGCACAGAGAGCACCAAGAAAATGTTGAAAATGTTATTCCACCAATCCTAGGAATCCCATGGCGAGTCTGTGAAATGGTTGAATGAGACTAAATGACAATTGTCCTCCGGCAATCTTGGGGTTCTTTATTCCTGTAAGCTTTTTTTCTTATTTATGTCTGATTTGTAAAATATTGCGATGCAGTTTATTTTTTAAGATGCCAACAGGCACTTTTTATGAGATGGGCAGCTATAGAAAATTTCTAAATAAAGCAATATAAGAAAAGGGCTGGGCCTTCAATAATATGGTTATAGCACAATTCTACTTTTTTTAAAGACTTCTCTAAACAGCCTGAGAAAAACTTTTTTTCATAGTAAATGATTGCCATATGCATTTAAATTTATTGTAATTCACAATGGTGAATTCAAAGTGGTGTGGATTACTATTTGAATCCAACCTCTAACCACTCTAGTGTACCCAGTCATATATTCTAGTTTCCTCTTTTTTCTAATGGATGACCAAGGTCTCAACCAAAGTGCCCACCAGATCCAAAAAAACATGAAAACCCACTGGATTCTTAAGCACCTAAGACGTTCCCCATTGCAAAATCCACGGCAATCAGAAAGCAGTATGTCCACGACAGAGTGACTTTGATGCCCACCAATTTTCAGGTCACATTATGGCTGCCCTGTTATAAAACCCAGACAAATCATGGAACTCTCATGTGTCTTGGGCCCTCAGTAACTAGTTCAGGTACATGGGTGTCGTGGTGGCCAGAATGCCTGGGCCACTTCAAGCCCTTGGACAGGGAAGGCTGGTTGAAAATATCCTGTACAACCAGTTTGGGAAACTTTACTGTCACCTCAACAATTAGGCAAAGCAGCCCTGGGAGGTGTGCTGTCTATGCAGCAGGGTAAAGCAGCTGATTCAACTACTATCCCCTTTGGGTCTAACTACATAAACAAGGCCCCAAATTTGGTTATCTGAAGAGTAGGGCCCTTTGATCCTAGTAATTTCATAAGTGACAGTAGCTATTCCCTTTCCCAACATACACTGGGGCTATAGGTGGTGCCTAACTGAATTTCAGCAGGCTATGTCTCTGAGAGAGACAGCTTGTCCATCCAGGTTTTGGTAATGCATATCAGGCCTGCCCTGACACCCATAATTAAATGGCAGATAATATTTGTAGATAGATAGACCTTGCAATTTGTAGCAGCTGCCAAAAACTCAGGGTTTTGTTGGATGAATCTGTTATGGCCTAAAGACATAAATTAGCAGGTAAAAGAGAGTAGCCTATTAAGAATATCCTTTACTTGTCCTGCAAGGTAATTTAATATCCATTGGTGAGGACAATTAGTTCTGTCCCTTTGAAATACAGTTACAATGCTAATTTAAAAAAAAAAAGCTTTCGTTTGCACCCGATTGTGATGGCTTTGGCCAGACACTGCTTTGAGAGTGGGGATTGGACTAGAAGACCTATATGGTCCCTTCAACTCTATTAATCTGTTAAACTGTTAGATATATCATTTGAGATAAATTCACTTCAGTGGATATTTACTATAGGGTAGGACACACTCATGCATAAGATTGAAGCAGATCAATAGTCAATCTGACTTATTTTTTAAGATGCCAACAGGGCTTCTTAAACATGGCTTCAATCCCAAATTAGCTTAATTGTTCTAAAACAATTAGCATGACCCATCTTAATTTAGCTGGACTTCTCGGCAGCTTTCAGTATTATTGATTGCAACATTCAATCTGATTATTGTGGTTAAAACACAGAAGGATATCACCTTGAAATATTAATTGGAGGTTTTTTTTAAAAAAAAATAAAATGTCAAGATTCATTGTTTCAATATCAATTATAAATGATTTAGTCTTAGTTTGTGCTTAGTATGCAAATGGGTTTTCTGTATTCAATAATATTTGTTTCTCACATGCAAGTTCACTTCCTATACTTCGTTTGAGCAGTCTAATTTACTATAACTGTGTCAAAAATATTACCAGAACAATTGCAAATAATTCAAATCAACCAGTTACATTTTCAATTCACTTTGGTCCTAAGATTCACATGCATACCCTAAGCTATTGAGTCTTTAATGACAATTTGGGCTAAGCAACTTCATGCAAAATGAAGCAGCTTTCCAAGCTGAAGCAGCCCTTGGACCTGGTTTTTGTCAACCTTAGCAACTTTAATATATATGGACTTCAACTCCCAGCATTCCACAACTTGCTCCAGACCATGGGTGTCAAACTTACAGTATCATGGTGCCATCACATGACATTTTGCAATGTTTTTCCTTCGCGGATCTGGGGTGGCCATGGCCCGCAGGCTGCCAGTTTGACACCCCTGCCCTAGACAAAGTTTATCTGTTACTTTATAAGATTCCAATAAGACTTCTGAAAAATATTGTCAGTGGATTCGCTTTTGGAGATAGGGAAAGAATGTCAGTTGGTTCAAATAAGAGGTTGGTGAGGATCAGTGTTAACATAAATACATTGCTCTTGATCAGTATGCTTTTTAGATATCTAAATGACTTTATGATATACCTTGTCTCATAAACTTGCTTGCCTACTGTGATTCTCACAGAAAACCCCTCTGTAGTTTGCTTATCTTCCAAGGCTAGGTAAAATGTCATACTACATTTTTATGATGCTTAGCACAAGTTGATATTTGCTGGACACTTGGTCTTAAAAAAAATCTAGATGTTTTTATCGCCCCAAGCTTAAAAAAATAGGATTTGAATGGATTATTTCCATTGCTATTTTTGCTAGTTAATTTCACCTAAATCAGTACAGTAATTTCAACTGTTACATTGGTTGATTTAATCTATTTGGTGAACCATCCTTGATGTAGAAATACTAAAAGCCAACATACATAATTCTGAAGTTTACAACACATTGGCTGAATTCTGGCTATCCAGAGCGTTTCCAAGCTCTGGCCATCCAGGCCCCTAATCTTAAATTATCATGAAATTCATACAAACCTGGGAGTTTCTCAGGAAATAGTAAAACACTCATAAATCCATGCTTCTCTAGTGGCTGAGCAAAAGACAAGTTCAAGAGGGGAAAAAAAAAAAACAAGAGGAGAGAATTAAGAGTCTTGATCCAGATGAGATCAGAGAACAGAGCATCCATATACACAATAAAGAGTAGTATCAATCTGATAAAAAAGTCACTCCTACTTTAGAAGTAGTGCAAAGGGAGAAAGGAAATGTGTTCAAAGACCTGGCCATGCATTCTTCAGGAAAATATGTGGGCCTTAACAGCATATATTTTAATAATTTCTAGTAGGCTTTGAACCACTTATAACCATCTTATTATCATCCTTGATGAACCACAAACACAAACACAGTTTCATTAACATTAAGAGGGCTTTTGGAATTTATTCTTTAAAAAAGGTAATGAAATTAAATACAAAAGTTCTAATGCAATATTAAGGTTGGAAATTTAAAATACCCCCCTTCCTCTGGGAAATGCAATATGAAAGATTCTTAAGAACAGCTGAAAATTACCCACACTGAACTAATGCGGCAATTTGAAAAGGTAAGAGCAAACAAATTTGTCTCCTTAACATTCAGTAACCAGTCTTCAGTGAAGATGGAAAATTATTGAGGAAAACACAAATGTTGCCAAATGCCTCAACATTTGTCGTTTCTCTATTGGTTACCATTAACACTGCATCTCTGGAAAAGTGCTTTATTTATCACCATAAGGAAAACTGTGGAATTCTCTCACCCAAGCTTCATTTTTCTACAATGTCCTCTCTCTCTGAAGTAGCTTTAGAAGTCAGAATACTGATTCAAAAACTTCACGTAAGACATGGGCAAAAGGTAAAGTCTCTTCATACATAGGCAAACTACCTTTATATTCTCCACCCACTCAGCCTCTTCGTATTCTTATTTTAACTTCCATCATTGTTGCAGCAATTTCCCCCAGGCTTTTTCTTAAAAGTAGATGATGGTCATATATCCCAATTCCAATGGCCCGTAGAGGACAATATTCTCAGCCCCTCACAATCTGCACAGTGAAGGATAAACATGACAGGTGGAAAAAGCAGCATGCTCCCAGTTCCAACATGAACCTTAGAGCAGGAAAGAATTGAGGACCTAGAATACTCTCATTCTGTTCTTGAGGTGAAATGCCTGAGGGTGGCTAAGTATTAGCAGTACTCACACTTCAGATACATAAAGAGTTATTGCCTGCCCACAATCTTAGTTCTTCCACTGCCCTGTCAGGAAAAGAACTAGTCCTGTTGCACTCTATGGGGCCCTTCAAGCCATTAATCTAGTTACAAGGAAGCTTCTGGAAAAAAAAATCATCAATATCTCTCATGAATGTGAGCATCTTCTGCCAAGCATACACAAGGTAGAAAAATTAATACATAAGTAGTTACAGCCCTGAATCAAGGTCTGCTCACTCTCATCATCCCCTCAGCCGTGTGCTCAGAAAACAAGGGAGATAGCTCTTGTAGCTCTTACAATGCTTGTAACAATCATGGACGTTTTACGTGGTCCAGAAAATTAATACCCTGAGGGAAAGGAAGTGCAGGATTTTATCGGACGTGCATGTACACTTAAAAGTGTAGGGACACATGCACACAAAATTCATACCCATGCCCAACGTAGAAACAGAACACACAAACGCACACACACTCAAGTTCACCATAATCCCTGCAGCCAAAGCACAATCTTGAAATGTTTATGCACCGTTTAGATTTCAGTAGGACTTTGTGCCCAACAAGTGGGAGGCAGAAGGGAGGAAGATCCATCAGTGGGACCATCAAATCATTCACAGGTTTGTCCTTACACAATGCTGCTTTTAGCAGACAGAAAAGCAGTGCAAATTGCACAGAAAACAGTCTGCCCTGGACAATCTCTGACGTGACTGAGGGAAGAACAAGCAAACCTCATATCCTTGCCTTAGGTATCCATCTACTGCCACCATTGGGCAGAATCTTTGCTTGTCTAGAAAGGCACCTGAACTGATTTGTTTTTATGCACCAATATTTGAAAGTAAGTTCTCCCACTCTTTAATCTACAGCATTTGCAGGCTTACTAGAGACAATTTTTTTCCACAAATCCCCATTAGCTTTTGGAAACCTCTTTGTGCCTCTGTGGCCCAAGGAATAACCAGAATATTGAAATGAAGGAACAAGAAATTACAAGATTAAAGCAAAGGGGAAATACTTTGAAGATGAAGGCAGCAACCGAGTATGAAGGATAAAAGTCAAGAACTGAAAATAAAAGTGTGCAAGGATAATGTGGTTTTATAAACACGGATAGAAACAGTTACAGCAAGGACAGGGGCAGGCTGGATGGGATTGAAGTTTGAATAGATATATCTATCCAACTATTTGTATATATATTTATATATATATTTATATATTTATATATAAATTCAAGTGGGGAGAAGGCCCGAGTCTGTTGCTTGGGAAATTTTCCCTTCTAATTGGTCTCTCTGTGCAGTGCAAGAATGATTGTTTCCACCATTTCCTCTTCTCCACTGTTCACTCCCTGGAAGATTCCTCTGATTCTTGCTCTCCAAACATCACCGCACTAGAACCATCTTATATCCAGCCTGGCCTGGCAGTAAGGACAGTGAAGGAGGCATCTGGACTGCACATAGAGAGAAGTAGCCCAACAGTTCCCTTCCCCAGGGGCTTTCCCAAAGACTTCATTTGAGCCTTGGGTTCCAGACTGCACTTATTGCAGAAAGGGGGAAAGAGGGGAGTGAAGACAGAAAAACAACCCTCAGTCTCTTTGGGGCAGGGGGGGGGGCGTCATTTTGGCACTCTTACCACTAGGCATTTTTTTTGGTTTAGACTTGATGCCTGCAGGAAGCTTAACATTATGGTGGAAGTTAAACCATATAAGTTTCTAAGTTGTAGTACCCACCTTCCCATCCCTAATTCTTCCTGAAGTTGGCTGGGAAAAGATTAGGCACTCCCCCATTCCATAGCCCCCTCAAGAATTGGATTGTGCAGACTCAGCTGTCAGTCACCAGCAACATCCCATTATCTTCAAGGTTTTGTAAGCCAAACAACATTTGATGCCTAGAACAGGAGCAGCCATTCTTCCTTCCTCCAGCTCACAGGAAAGAGGGGGTGAAGGAAGGGAGTGACATAACGAGTGAACGTTCTCCAGTCTACACCCCAAGGGAATCTTTGGAAGACTCCCAGTCACCTCATTTACTTGCAATCAGTCATTGCCGAAGCTCCTTTCGTCCACTGGTACCCCCTCATTTCTTATCTCTGCTGGATACCTTATCAAGTGAGAGAGAAAGTGGGGTTCCCTTAATGAACAAGAAGGCCTGGTGTAAGGGAGGAGCCCTCTTCTTGCACAAAGAGAGTTCGATCCCCTGCTTACGGGGGGAAGGTTGTGCCTCTGGAGGCACTAATGGTAACGCCAAGGAGCGGCCACTAAATAGATAGAATACCCATTTCCCTCCCCCTAAGGGAAGCCGTCACAAGCTGCTGCATGAGGAGAGGCCATCACAAAAGAACTGCCCATGGGCACACAGATGATGCAGGAGAAGTTTTCCACTCCCCTCTTCGGCCATGGTCTCTAAGAACTGGAAAGGTGCTCCACTTGGATGGTGCTGGTGCTAACCGTGAGGCAGATGTCTTTGTGATGCTCCGAAGTTTTATAAGGGGTAAGGTCAAAAGAACACTGTGGGGGAGGATTGGACGGGTTGTCTCCAGATGGACCCCCTGCTGCTCCACTGCCCTGTGCTTGGAAGTGCTGCTGCTGTGATGCCTGTGATTGAGCCTGGACTTGGGCTTGGACCACAGCCACCTGCTGCTGGGGGTCAGGGATGTTGTGTTTCCGCATGTGTTTCATCAAATATGTTTCCTGAAGTGGAAAAGAGGCACAAAATACATTCAGAACCATGGATACAAGTGGAGCGACCAACTCTTTCATTCCACTAAGAGGATGGTGCATACCCATGGGAAACAGCAGAAACCTGTTTCCAGAGCTCTCCACTGAGGGCAGCGGCCAAATGGTCCTCCCGTTGTCTCCCTCTTTCAATTAAGTTGTGCTTACCGAGGTATAGGCCCGATTGCACATGGAGCAGTTGTAAATCTTGGCATGCTTCACTGTGTGAGTGGCTAGATGAACCTCCAACGAGGTGGCATCTGTGTATGCTCGGTGGCAATTGTGGCACTTGAAGGGTTTGTCTTTGTTGTGCTGCCTTCTGTGGGACTAGAGTGGTAGGGAGCGAGAAAAAGGGCAATGAGTTGAAAACTTGTACTGTCTTATTCTGTTCGGAGGTCTATTAATGTTACTCAAGGAACTGTGTCATCCGTATGGGACAGGCCAGTCCCATTGTGCTGGCAAATGAGGTATGCTGCAGATCTCCTCAGTCTCAAGGAATTCTTGCTGGCAGAGTCCAGGAGAAGAGCCTTCTCTGCTGCAGCCCTGATCTTTTGGAACATCTTGCTCCCTGGGGTGAGCTTAGGTCTCACCCTCCTGACCTTCCACAAGAGCCTAAAGACCTGGCTCTGCCAGTTGGCTTGGGGCTGCGCTGGGGGAGCACCATGCTGGACCTGGTTGATCAACTAATAGCAGCCTCCACTTCCCTCCCCTGTATGTTCTGTTCTTTTCCTCCCCATCTTTTAGTTTTAGTTATGATTTTATCATTTGTGTGTTTGTGTGCGCGTGCATGCACACACACACACACACAATAAATAAAATTAAAAATAATAAATAATGCCATTTCTTAAATAAAACTCAGGTATGTGTATGCGAACACAGGCATGGATACTATCGAAGTATCTTCTAAGCTGGCAATTCACATAATATTTATATAACCAGATCCCCTATCATTTGTTTTGGTTTTATCTTGCCCAAATTCCTCCAAAATACCAAATTACATTGTATTTACCTTCCCAAAGAACTAAATTGTACATCATGCTATTTCAAATGCTATTTACTGTATATAAATTTCAACTTAATATAAAAACAAAGACAAAGCTACAGCAGTGAGTTTATTGTTGCTAAGCAAATAAGCAAGTAATCAAGTAAACATGTTAGTATTATTAAAATCTATTAAAGCTCAGCAGTCTAGATTTGGTTGCCACACATGCTTCTTCTTGGCAACAAATCTGGGAACTGAAGGTAGCAAGCAAGACCTAAAACAATATAAATTAATATCTGTGCTGTTAATTACAGTTAATTTTTGAATTTAGCAAAGTTGGATTCTTTATCTGTGACATTTGATAAAGTAGTTAGTTTGAAACACCAGCCTCCTCTTACTCAATAAAAATCAGATTATTAGGATCACTTTTTATTTTCCTTCAAAACTATTTAGGTTTGTCACAGTTCGCAATCAGGCTAGTGGTCAAATTATGTTAGATTTTCCTAGCAGAACTGTTGATACAAGCCATACCTTTGCAAAAGTGTAAAAAAATAAATAAATAATGACACATTGTAACAAACAACGAAATGAAACCTTTCCTCCCTCTATTTAAACGTCCACTTTCTCTAGCTTACTTTGATTCAAAGTTACCCACTGATTGGAATCGTGTTTAATCAGCATACAACGTCTAGTGAGCAATTTTATTTTTAATAACAACTACCATGGATTGGATGCGGATTACTAGCAATTCAGCAATGATCCCAATGAAATAAAAAAGAGTTAAGTGCAACATCCTTAACATGTGCTGATTTCCCCATCTCCCAGTTTATGGAATAAGTACACAGATGTTCAGCCTGGATAAAAAAAACACAATGCTGGCAGAGAAGGTACGGAGGACTCCCTCCTTTCTAAAACAACCACTGGGCACATATGTTCTTTCGATTCACCTGCCTGGTGCCTCAGGCAATGCTTAAACAAAAGGCTACTGCCACCCCTCAATGCTTTCCAACCACAACCCCAAGTTGCTGGATATTTGGATCACTTCCTTTAGAGACTTACCTAGAAGAAACAGAAAGCCTTACCTGCAAGTTTGAAAGTTGCGTGAAAGCCTTTTCACAGCCAGGGTGAGCACATTTGTAGGGTCGATCTCCAGTATGAATCCTATTACGAAAAGGACAGAAAGAAAAGATCAGCAGAAGAAAAGTCAGCATAGAAACCCACTCCCAGATGTTCTGAAGATGCCCTCCAGCTGAGCTAGGCAAGCAAGAGATGCACCGCCCTTCACCAACTTACTTCCTTGTTTCTTTGATCAAGCCACATGCCACCTCCTTCCCAGTCCAGCTTAGCTAGCTAAGCTCAGAAGGAAAGCCCGCAAGAGCATGCAGAAACAAAAGGAGAGGGACAAGCAGCTCACAGGCAAGAGGCAAACTCTCAGTTACTTCAGCCACCTGTGGCAGTGCCAGGGCAAAGGACTGGAGAACAAGATCTCAGTCCAAACGGAAGTTGCTTCTTTTAATTCTGCCCTTCACCATGCCAAAGAATGTGCTTGCTCACGCACATTTGCAATGCCTGCCAAAATAACTAAGGAAATCATACATTCATCCTTTAAAGTATCAAGGAACATTGCCATACATTCCACTTGTACAGTGCCACTTTATTCCCTGTAGCTTCATGCCCCTCTAGTCCATGCCTGCCTCAGTCTCTCTCTCTCTCTCTCTCTTTCTCTCTCTGGGACTCCCTGGAGGGGAAGTGAAAAAGGGCCACATCTTCCCCGGGCTATACTCCCTGCCCTGGCATGGTCAATGTCTCCTCTGCAGCCCCCACTCTTTCCTCTCTGGCAGGCCACATCTT